CAAGTGAATGTTTATAAAATGAGATTACGGGGTTCACCTGCCCTCTATTATTGGCATTCAGTGTCCAAGTTAGTAAAGTTTATAAAATGACGATACTCCAGATATTATGTAGTTATCCTTTAAAAAAACACTAATGTTTATAAAATGTGTCTTGGAATTTGCATTGTGTAAAGGAAAAGGATCTGCATTTTATAAGCCCACAATCATGGGGGATTTTCCGGAAAGGCCACTTGTAGATGAACTGGCTCCTCACTTGGCCTAACAGTGGGCATACATAGAAGGGACAATAAACCATGGGCATTCTGCAACAGTATGGACAAGCTACGAAAATCCGGGCCGGAAGTGAGTCTACATGACTATAAAGTATATATAACCCTTATCGACGCATCTCCTCAAACGGCACCAAACTGAGGTCTACCCGCAACTGAGGCCTACGCGCTACACATCTATGAGCCGTCCGAAGACCGCGCCTTGTAGCTGAGCTGGCTGCTATCTGTCCATGGCGTTTTTTTGCCGATGGATGATTTTCGTATCTTTTTGTTTTGTGATTCGTTGGGTCTTGCGCTTCCTAGGAATTGGTAGAAGGAGGGCTGGTCCATGTTACAATCGCATGGCCAACAAACAGAGGCTGAACCAGCCAAGATCGCAGGACCAGGACGGCAGCTCCTGGAAACACATAGAGACAAACTCGTCAAACCTAGCGTTCCAGTGGCCACTGCAACATGGCAACCACATGCAACCACCTGTTCTCAAAAAGAACCTCGACCCAGAGCCACTAGTTGCATGCGTGGTGGGGCCCATGTGTCTACAGACCCACTGAAGCGGGTCAGTCCCCACTGAAAGGTGGCGAGTGCAGGTGGCGACAGCACCTTCGCCTTCACCAGCGAGCTGATTTTGCCACTGACCTTATGGGTCTTTGTTCTCGGTTGGACACCGACCTCACAGCATCCCCAGTGGATCCACTAGAGACCAAAGGTTCCAAAGCCAATCAACGCAGCTCTAGAATCCTGGTTCAGCATGCCTCCTTCTAAATACTGATAGTTGGTCTGTTTTTAAGCCTGCCCGAAGGATTGTAACTCGGTTCCACTGGGGGACTACGAAGAATAAAGTTGAACAAAGCGCTCCCCGCTGCACAGAAGTGTGGGGCGTCCTGCTCCCATTGAGCCACCATCAACTCTGTGAAATGAACATATTGCAGTACATTAGATTGAAGGGCGGTGTTGCTCATA